ATGGATGCTCGTAGATCAGAACGCAGCTCTCCTCTACAGCGACATCCACAACCAGAGCCGCACACATTTGACATAGTATCTCGCCAACATCCCAAATGTGTGACATGGAGGCAGTTTCCACAGGTGCGTGAGAGGCCTGAATGCCTAGCGTGAGTCAAACATCATCAATGAGTGTCACGTTGCACTACCTTTCACAGGCAAACGACACAAAGAGCACCGCGGTTTAAGAGTCCTTACCCCACAACATGAACATGTTTCTACGTGGGGGCCAAAAGTGCGATTGCATTTCCCACAGGCATGCTGCACATCTACTGAAAGTCGTCAGTTGACACATATTTTCCGATTCGCTGCGTACCGAAGGTAGCCTCTCGGCTATTGGCATGAAACGTGCTTATCTTGGCACTCTTCAGTAGTTCAAGTCGTTTGTTCAGAAGCTGCCACCTAAAAAGCATCTCCGCATATGAAAGAACATGACACTTATACTGAGCAAGGATCTGTTGATCATATGCGGCTGGCCTAAATGATCGTAATGTGAAGGTTCGCCCACTACGCAGAAACAAATATTATACTTTTCTTCAATAAATTCTTCTTCTATAACCAATCTCTTTTCTTGGATTACTTGCTTTGGGTTGATAACTTGCGAAAAAGTCGGTCGACGCCCACGTACCACCGGTGAAATGGGTACGGCAGGCGCAAGTGTTGACAAAACAGGTGTATCTGACCACGATTTTGAAACTGGTGACATCAACGTCGACCCCTTGCCTCGCCTTGGTATGTCCAGATTGGGTAGTCTCAGTGTCATAGAACCTGCACCTTCGCTCCCAGGCAATGGTAGAGGCGTAGGCATTGGGGTCTTCGCCGGAAGTTGAAGGGTATCTATCGATAGAGGCGTCGAGATACTTTCTTGCACTCCAGACATAAATTGTCGCATGCTGCCAGTATTAAACAGGCTTGACCATGAACCACGGGAGGTGTTAGACATCGAGAGTGACGAAGCCATAAGGGGCGGAGCTGTGGGAGATGTTGATGAGAGCCGCGGCCAACCAGGAGAGAGGGCTGCCGCACGCGGGCCTTTCCGTCGCACAAACGAGAAGTAATCGTCTCCAGGGGTCGGTGAAATTGACGACGGGTCATTTGCAGAGGGCGTATTTGGCACTGTAATATCATCAGAGAGAACGCTGCAATGAGCGAATGAAAAAGGCTTGCCAGTATCGGGAAGAGAAACGAAGGCTCGAAGTAAGATTATACCAAGCATTGCAAGCATCTGCACGTCATGGCTTGCACAATACTCCTTGTACCTGTGAAAATCCAAAGTTAACGCTTGAAATACTTACTATACAGGACAAGAACATACAGCGAATCAATAATTTTCTGCGCAATCTTGCTTGGACCTGCGCCTTTGACTACTGATGCGGGGAACAGGCCTCCGAGTATCCTCCATACTCGTTCATGATTCCACTGCCCATGTTCATGCGCAATTTTTGCATTTGCTTCACATATAGCACCTACGCTCTCGCCGTCGTGTCCAAACACATACGCCTCTGCGACTTTCCGCTGAGCAAATGCGGCATCGGTTGGACCTTCGATGAACACCGTGCTTCTTCGTGTAAGGGCCGGCACCTTGGCATAACTAGGGTTGGCTGTTGGAAGGGAGCTGGCAGAAGTGGCCATCGATTCGTGTCGCTTATGGTGATGACGGTGCGAAAAAGTAAGGAGGTTGGTCATTATGCGCATGGTCGTGTCGTTATCGTCGGATGACCGGGGAAGTGAGTCCAGCAGCCTGTCACGATCTATCGCAGCCATATCAAGCCGTCGGACCGCATCAGAGAGCAATGAAGGAGGTTGGAACAACCTCTGAGCAGAGGGAGACGAACGTGATGCTGGAGTTGTGACCGGAGAAGCCGACATCTCGTTCATGGGATTGCGCACTATCCGGGGCGGTGCACGGAAAAAACACACCAGTTCTCCTGATCTGATCTTTAACGTACGCTGAAGATGACCTAGAAAAGTACCAACCGTTCGGCCCAAAGACACCTTGTGAAGTCCTTGGTTCTGCGAGATTCTTGTTGTTCCTCAACAACGAAACTGTAAAATCCCTTGACTTTCTCCCTCCCTCCCCTTTCTGTGCACTATCCTCCTCCTCGTTGGATGACTCCGAGTCAATTCCTCTCGGGATGCCAACTCTTTCATCTTCATCCCCGAAAAGTAAAAATCTCAGACAGGCTTCAAGACACGGTCTTCTTCTCTCTCGAATGCCTCTCAACCGTCTCAACATGAATGCGCGACTTTGCATTGAAACTAGGGGGTTTCGCTCAAGATCAATGTCAGGTACGCCAGATTGAGGGTATGTCTTAGGAAATCGGAAAGAAATGCGTATGAACACGCTAACAGAAGACGACTCGCCCCATGGCCCATGCAGACCAAGGGTACATGTACGCCGCTTAGCAAGATCGTGCTACGAATATTAAGTAAGTCAACGCATGCGCTCAGGCAGATGAAAGGAACCTTTTCAAGTTTTATTTTGGATGTTTGCAGCTTTGTCAGCGCGGAAGTAATTCTACGCACCGAGATCAGTAGCAGCAAGGAGAGTCAATAGTGTTACTTACTCATCTTGTAAACTTTGTGTTCCATCTCCATCCATGATACGACTCCCACTCCGTTTCCTCTTCTGGCCCGGTGGAACGCTCTCGTCGTCCTTTATTCCTCGTTCTCCTGAGCTGACTCTACTCTCTGGTCCAGAAGCGCTGTCCTCGCGCCGCTCGCCAACCTTGAAACTTGCAAGCCACTGTAACGCATCCATTCTCGCAGACCTGCCACCAAGCGCATGACCACGCGTCATCGTCATCGTTGCGGGTGTCCCAGGAATATGATGAACGTGAGGCTTCAGGGTAGTGCCAGGGATGCCGAGCGCGGCTGATCCAGGGGCGTCCAGAAGCAATGCACCACGGCCCCGTGCTGCAGATCCATGGTGTGGTTGGAGGACGGGATTATGATCTTTGTCCCTGCTCGCAAGAACACTGGGGCCAGTTACTGTAGTCGTTGGTACTCGAGAAGGAAGTGTACTCGCTCGAACTTCAGCCAGGATTCCACGATGCCCGATGGGTGCTGATAGAAGTGACGGGTGCGCATCAATTGCTATTGGCGGGTGACGGAAAGACTTGTCGGTGAAGAAACGCGAACGTTGCAAATGCGGGTGCGAAGGTGCTTGAGTGGTAGTCGTATGACCAACTTTCTGTGAAATAGAAGATGTTATACACCAAACACACTGATTCACGGTAGATAATTGGGCACCTCCATAATTTCAGCATCAACCGGCCAAAATCTGAGAGTTCTGTCCTTAGACCATGTAATAAGGTGGTAATCTCCTCCCTCTGGAGGCACCGAATTACATGATGATTGCCGTTTGAAGTGTGCGCGCTCACCTAGTCCTCCCTTCCTCCATACGAATTCTTTCACTACATCTGCATGTCCCTCAAACACCTCTACTGGCGTCCCAATATCACTCCCCTCCAGTGCGTACATTTCAAGGGCCGTATCTCCGCGCTGTGGCAAGCTTAACACGCCGTGTCCGAAAGGAAGGTTTCGGGCGCGCCAGACGGGATATCGCGTTGAAATTTTTGAGCGTGGTTCAATGTCGGCTTGCGAGGACTGATTAAAGGAGAAAGAAGGAGCATCATACACGTCCCATACTTTGATCGTTTTGTCGAGAGAGCAAGTAACGAGGTCGTGCATCCGCTCATGTGCCCAGTCTATACCATAAATCTTCGCAGCATGCGCCTTTATTCGCGCAGTAGGAAGCGAACCTTTCTACCAGGTAGATTAGTAAAATGACTTCAGGGGCAATAAACCCCAGAAGATAATATAGCGAAGGCGGCATACCCGGCGATCCCATATTAGAACTTCATTCATATGTGAAGATGCCAAAACATTGGGATCCTGTCGGTTCCATTTCACCTGAGTACCTCCCGCTGTGCAAAACATCACAACGTGTGACTACGGACTCGAAAACACTTACCGTTGAACGCGCACAGTCCTGGAATAAGTCAAACTACGTATGATGAGAATAATCAAAAAACGCACCCAGTACAGGTTTCCTCGGCTCCCTTAAATCCCAAGACCACACCCAAGCATCAATGCCGACACTAGCTACAATATCGGGCTCCTTGGTATGCCAGTTGATGTCAGTGATGGCACGATAATGAGAGTGAAGTATATGCTCAATGGATGTCTTTCCGACCATCATAAGGTTCCATATAATGCTTCAATTTTTTTGTCAGTCGGAGGCTCCAGTTACAACAGTATGGAGGAGAGCTCACAGTTTCTCGGATGAGGTAGATACAATGTACTCTGCACGAGCATGGTGTGGGTTCCATTGGACGTCCGCGACGTCCCACATTCCACCTTGAGGAAGGAAACGTGGCACCTCGGAGGGCGCCTCGAGGTCGATGATAAACAAACCTCGGCGACTTGGCGCTATTGAGATTCATTCAACACAACATATACTGACTCACGCTGCAAGAACGATGTCTCTGCTCGCAGGGCTGATACTCATCTGTGTACTTTGGTCAAGAGACTGCCTCTTTGTGACACAAAGGATACGTACATTTCCGACTGCATCCCCCACAAGTTCCTTCATGTCTATGCGAAGATTTCTCTGAAAGTTGCCACCATCTTCAGGCGAAGAGGATGATTGAGTCGTCTGTGTCGCTCCAAATGATGGTACATCGCGATAGGAAGCAAGCCCAGCAGTCATTTCTTGCGTATGAGCATAAATTGGAGGAGCCCATGACGGACGGCGTGCTGTTAGTAAAGATAAGGAAGAGGGAACGGGTCCGACGTCTCTGTCCGGTGTAGCACTTTCGTTTGCAATATGAATCCGTGCTGACTGCGAATTCGGTCCTGTATGCGCAGGTTTTGACTTGGACGATGAACGCGACATCAATTACCGTTGAATTACTGAGCAATTTCGAAGCGAGTATAACACTGTCACGTGAATCACTCCAGGCTTAGGTTCTGACAAAATTCTTATAGTCAATGTAATAAGATACTGTTATGACGAGATGAGTGGTGATTAATGATTAAGCAAAGCAGTGATCAATGTGTTGTGTTAGTGCCCAGTATCCAATTAACACGACTATAGATACGCCCGGGAGGACCTGCGTGCCATCTGCACAGAAGAATATCAGTACGAGCAGCACGTGAAGGAGAGAATACTCACTTCGACAACCTTCCACCCTCCCGTAACCTCGTCCGCTAACTCCTCGTGGACGCGTGTGATCACCGCAGCATATACGCATTGTTCTACTCGGTTTTCGGCGCCGACAACGATCTCACGCGAGGCTGCATTGCGGAATAGGAGAATCTCTTGTGTCGAGAATGTCACGACAAAGACAGGGATAGAGGAGTCGAGAATTTTTCCATCAGAAACCTGGAAATATTTAGCATTTCACCTCTGCATGATATAGATAGACAGATGAAATACTTACGTCTACTGACCGGATATCAAGCACTTTACTGTCACTGACAAGGCCCTGGCGAAGATATTGTTCCATGGTTGCCCAAAGAACATTGTATGTCTAAAGAAGGGGGTATTTAGATTTGAAATGCGATTCCGATCGGATACACTCACCGCTTCACTGCACCACCTGACAAGCGACTCCCTATCTGCACTCAAGTACGCATCTACGACTTCCGGAACGATATATTCTCTCAATTCCCTCTCGAACGCCTCCCTCGAAAAGCTCGGATCCATCGCGCGGATCATGCGTGTCACTTGGGCTGTTTCGTTCTCCTCGAACCAGGACCCAATCGTACTGGTCACAGCACGAAGTGGGGTAAGGAGGGGAGACTCCGACTCTTCGTACGCGGCATGTAGCGAGGACAAGCGTTGCATTACAGGGTTCCTAGACTTGAAGTTTTCCCAAGCTTCCGCGCGAGGCGAGGGTTTAAGATATATGATTGATTGGCCCGCTCTGTAGGCTTGTTAGAACCAGCACAAAAAAAAATACTTCCAAAGGACGCACCCTAGGTTCTCCTCCATTACTCGACGTCCGCTTAGGCCCGCCTTCTCGAGACGTTTTTGCCTGCGACGTCTCCGAGCTTCCTTATCCTCGAACCCGGCATGCTTTGCGGACCCAGAGTCGTCCAGGGCGTCGACGAGAGTTTCTGCAAGAGTTTTGTAAGCAGCCGTCTGACGGATGGGCTCGGTTGTTGTAGCAATGGTACTAGAGAGGGACGTTGTTGCTCGCGAAATCTGCCGAAAGTTAGTTCGTGATATCAAGTAGCTATAAGCAAAATATACGCACTGCACGCATTATTTCGCTCTCTTCCATTGTCTTCAATGCCTCTGATACCGCGTCGCCGACCTTAACACCCGTCGCCTTCAGCTCCTCCGCCGCTGCCCTCAAACGGGGGTTTTCCTTGATGCTGGACGTCAACTGTGGAAGCGAAAGTGAGATTTAACCCATATACGAGAAAAATTGAAAATACATACCCTTGCACGCTCATATACTTCCCTCGCCCGTTTCATGGCGTCCGAATCCTGAAGTTTGTCAACGTCACCCTGAAGCTGTTTAACATTATCTTGAAGTTCGCGGTTTTTCCTAAGTTCGTCACGAAGCACGTCGACGAAAGTTTGAAAGGGTGATTTCGGGAGCTCTTCATATCTTCGTGTTGAGGAGTGGAAAGAACGAGTCTTCGCGAGTCGCGACAGAAAGCGCCTGGCCGGAGAATAACTAAAGGGCGCTGCACTTGGTCTGTGCAGAATCAACGAGCGCGCTGCAACAAAGCTACGGAGATGAAGCATTAGTTACAGCGAACTGAAGAACGATGATAGTTTTACTTAATTTCAATGGATGACTAATAAGTAGCCAACACCGCTTTTAATGAGTAGTAACTGAAACCCTGACATTACCATGCCACGCCGCAAACATCAATTCCTCGAAGACGACGATTCCGACTCTTCAGACGGCTCAGAGGCTGACGTTAATCTAGATGAAAATGATCCAGACGTTCGTGCTGAGCGTGCCCTCTTTGAAAATGCGCACAAACGACGTCGGAAGAATGGTAAAGAAGACGCAATTTACGGCGTATTTGGTAGCGACAGTGAGGATGAAGGTCACGGCGGCTCAGGCTCTAAACGCAAGAGAAATGACTGGACGAAAGCTCCCTCGTTTGTCGCAAAGGGAAAAGTAGATTTGGAGAAGGATGTGGAGGCGCAGGAGGATGAGGCATGGGAAGGGGAACAAGAAGTGATCGACGAAGCGGATGGGGTCGACAGTTCCGACGATGATATCGAGCAGGCTGAATATCCCGAGGATGATGAAGATGAGGATGGACTCTCAAAGCCTTCTTCGCCCCAGATACGAAATCAAGAAGAGGATGAACCACCAGAACAGCCAGCGTTTGCCGGTCTTGGCTCAACTAGAGCTGAGCAGGAACCTTCAACGCGGAACTTTGCGAGAGGCGGTATTGGATCTTCGAAAGGTGGAATTGGCTCAATAGGTGGAATAGGTTCTGCCAAGGGTGGTTTCGGCAATTCTACAAGACCTGGATCCATGACTGTAGGTATGGGATTTACGAAAGGTGGCATCGGTTCTACATCTCGTGCTCCATCTGAACCTGCTATCGCTTCCCCCGCCCCTACCAAATTAGCGTCTACATCCGAGTTGCCAACCGCCTTTGGTGGTAACGGTGCCCCTCGTGCACAACGCTCTTTTCTCCGCAGCGGGACTTCCTCTACAAGTAAACCATCCACTCCGCTACCTGCTCATGAACAAGCACACTTCAACAAGATTGGAAGTACCCTTGGTGCTCAAATGCTTGCAAAGATGGGATGGCAGGCTGGTACAGGTCTTGGCGCAACCGGGGAGGGTATTGTCATTCCAATCGAGAGCAAATTGCGTCCGAAGAACATGGGTATCGCGTTCAAGGGGTACAGGGAGAAGACAGAGCAAAGCAAGCTAGAGGCTAGAAGGAGGGGAGAAGTAGTCAGCGACGATGAGGAAGAGGTGCGGCCGGGACAGAAGAAGAAGGGCGAAGCAAAGGAGAAGAGGAGCGACGCTTGGAAGAAACCAAAGAAGGTGAAGACCAAGGTAGAGCACAAGACATACGAACAAATTGTTGCAGAAGCTGGACAGCAACCCGCCGCATCCGGTATTGGTCAAATCATTGATGCGACTGGCAGAACGGTGAATGCTGCTCATATCTTTTTGTTTCACCTTACTCATACATCTTTTCAGCCTCGTGAAGTTGCGTCACTTGCCGATATATCTCTGTCATCGTGGACACCATCAACTGATCCTACCCGTATACCGGAGGTACGGCATAACCTGCGACTTATTGTAGACGCATGCAAGAACGATCTTGACGGACTTGCGCGCGAAGCCAAGGCTCTCGAGGAACGCAAAAGATTCATTGCTCAAGAGAGCATTCGGTTGGAAAAGAAAGTTGACGATGAGGCTGAGCGTATGTCCGTTCTTGCTTTTTAATCTCATCATTACTCATGCGCAGTGTATGTAGTCATTGCACGACTACAGCAGGTAAAACTTGTCGTGGACGATATTGGCACAAAGGCGAAGGAACTAGCTTCTGTTTATGAGGCAACCTTGGATGATTTTTCGCCTTTGTTTTCCACCTTGTTGGTGCAGTACCCCATAGAGTTTGACAGATATCGGTTGGACGAAATTGTTGTCGCAGCAATCGCGCCGATGGTCAGACGAATCGTTGCTCAATGGAATCCACTCCAGGATCCTTCAGGCTTGGTCACAACCTTCCGCATATGGAAGCAAGCACTGAAAGTCAACTCCGTTGACAAACTGCCAGATACTCAGATTGACATCTATGGCGCACGCATTGTGGCAACCCCTCCAGCCATTGAAAAGATGATGACTCCCTTTGAGTCCCTTCTATGGAATGTATGGCTACCAAAAGTCCGTACTTGCCTCAACAACGAGTGGTCACCTGAGGACCCTACACCAGCTGTCAAGTTGTATGAAGCATGGTCGACATTCCTCCCGCCATTTGTGCGCGATAACATACTTGACCAACTCATACTACCCAAAGTGAGCAAAGCCGTTGCAGACTGGAGCCCCAAGCGCAGTACAGTGTCCTTGCACGCGCTTGTATTCCCTTGGCTTCCATACCTGGGTTTGCGTATTGAAAGTGTTCTGGGTGATGCGCAAAGGAAGGTCAAGAGCCTTCTCAGGAGTTGGGTACCAGCAGATGGCGCACTCAAGGACCTCGGTGGATGGATGGAGGTTTTCGACAAAGGCGAGTGGGACGCGATGCTCCTCAAGTATGTTGTGCCGAAATTGGGCTCGTTGTTGCGCGATGAGTTCCGTGTCAACCCCCGCAATCAAAATATGGAACCATTGACACAAGTTCTCACATGGTCTACGCTTCTCCATGGGAGTGTATTTGCTCAATTGCTAGAAACTGAGTTTTTCCCGAAGTGGCTGGATGTACTGCACATTTGGCTCATACAGCCGAAGGTCAGTTTCGAGGAAGTTGCACAGTGGTATTCCTTTTGGAAGAGCAGTTTCCCAGATAGCGTGCAGTCTATGCCTGCTATTGCACGTGGATTTACTCGCGGGCTGCAGCTTATGAACACAGCTATCGAGCTCGGCCCTGATGCGCCTACGATGCTGAAACGCCCGGATCTACGTGCAGAACAGGCGATTGCAAATGTGTCTACAAAGAAGCCCGCTGCAACAAAGGTCGCTCCTGCGCGGATTCAAGAGATCACCTTTCGCTCGATTGTGGAGGAGTTTGCTGCGTCGCACAATCTCTTGTTTATTCATACGGGGCGCGCGCACGAGAAATCGAGGATGCCGTTGTTCCGCGTCTCGTCTAGCATTGCAGGGAAAGGAGGCTTGCTTGTTTATGTGCAAGACGATGCAGTGTGGGCGCCTGATGGGGATGAATATAGGGCAATTACTTTGGAGGATATGGTTCTTAGGGCCAACAAGTAGGGACACTCAGAATGCATATTAGTACATACGCGCACATAGGCAGTGGCACTGTCATGACGCGATGGTCAGGTGACCAACTTGAACAAACTGTCAATAATGACTTGCGGCAATCAACTCATTGTCAATGATGCCAGTTTGACTGAACAACATAAAGCTTCAACGGAGCCACAGGAGGCAATATTACAACTTGATCACTCCCATCACTTCCTGGGACCTGCAAGACACTTGGACACTAAGAGTTTCCGGCAGCTCGCGCATTACTTACCAGATCGAAAAGGCACTCTCCTTTGCTGAAGTCTGTATGTTTCTCAGTTTACTATCATGTCTCTCAAAGTACCAACCGAAATAATCGATGTCGACGCTCTTCTCTCGGACGAGGATGAACCGGCTGATGCAACTCAATTCGTTGGGTATGGCCCGGGGGGAAACTCGCAATACACAAACGCCACGGGTCGAATGATGACTATCAAAAATGAACCAGTCGCTTCCTCGTCCCGCTTGCCTCCGCCCTCAGGATCCAATTTGCAATTCAAAGAGTAAGTTTACCATTCATGATTTCATGTGAGCCGTCGGTGTTAATTAGGAATTCGGTGATTATCTCTCCCGTCCGTGACATCGTGCAGCACCCATACATTATTCACTTACGCGCGTCCAGGGCTCTTTGAAGTTGTTGAAGAAGTAAGGTTTTACCTCCAAACATCTAGGGGATCGAGGACTCATGCAAGACCACCTTTATCCTCAGGAAAAGAGGAAAAGAATGGCGATGGAACGCGTTGAGGAGCCACCTTTGAAGAAACGTGCAACAAGTTCAACCATCGCAATTGCAAATGTGCCCAGTCGACAAAAGGAAAAACGCAAGCAGCCATCTGGGTGGAAAGAGCCGGTGATCATAGATTTGTCGATCTGTAGCAGCGACGATGACATCCTTGCAAAGGTGAGATCTTGCTTGATATTGCTCCTGCGCTTGCCTCATGCACCTGTCCTCTCAGAGACCTAGACTCGAATCCGAGGAAAGCTCCTTGTTTGCCGACCGCACGACCGATATCTACTGCGAATGATGATAGTAACCAAATGGACTGCGGTAACGATACACATGACCCGAACGATTTTCTCCCTCGTACGAACGTACTACCGCCCCTGTCTCAATCACTATCATCTGAGGACCCTGGATATGACTCCGAAGAGGAGTATGCGAACTATATGGCTTCTCTCGACATTTCTGATGAATCCAAAGTGAGTGTCTTTTAAATCGATACTCATGTGTTCAAATTTCGTTTCCAGTGGAATCAGATGCCTTCAAGCAAGAAGGCTGAAGACCTTTCGCCTAATGTGGAGCTGGAGGTCGGGCCGGCACATCCGCGACCTGGAGAACTGCGGCCGTTGCGTCCGAAGTACTTCGCCGTACACTATCCAGTCACCCCCTTAGATCCAATTTACAAGGAACAATTCTTTTGGGGGAAAGTGCGTCGTTGTTCATCTTCATGTGGGCGAATAACGAAATTTTGCTCAGCTAAATTCGGTGCCAGGTTTCCGACCGCACGCACTCAAACCACCTGCTCGACTTCGCTTCGCTAGGCACTTGCCGGGACGCACGCGCCCTCTCAAACTGTTCCAAGATCTTGCTTACGATAAGTTGGGTGCTGTGCAATCGCATCGTCAGGCAGCATCAGGGTGTGAGAGACATCTTCTAGCCAATATTTTGGCATCGTTCCTGATGAGTTTCTCAGCCATAAATAAGATTGTTCAAGTTCCAGGAGCCATCGTAGCGTGTGCGGCAGCATCTGGTGGACATCCCGACTATTCGAATGAAGACCGAGAAGGTGCGCGTGTCATGTTATCTTCTTATTCGGGGACGCTTAGTCCTTGCAGCGCCTCTCCCATCAGACAACAATGCCGGGACAATGGTAGTGTTCCAGCAGGGCCAATGTAAGTCTGTCAGCAAGCAGTAAAGGGATCAGTTGTAATCACGCTTACAGGTCACGTTGTCGATGCTCACTGCATCGACCACGCAGGTGATTCTCTCATTTAGGAGTTATGCTTATGACTGAACGGTGTCGCAGCTTCTGCGAAGAAATACTACACGGTGAACGATGTCTTATTCAATCCATTGAAGTACGGTTGGGCCCTGTATCTATTGTGCTTGATGAGTTAATGGCCACTGTAGCCCCGCACAATTTCTATCGACTGGGAATGATTGCCAGGTGCAGCTTTGGCAGCTGCCTAAGGTTGATGAAATGGAAGTGAGTGAATCCATCACTAGTGCCCCCCGGATGATGAATTCTAGTGAGTCAACCATTGCTACCATTGTACTTGCTGATGTCCTGTTTTATAGTGACGCTGGGAGATGTCACGCAGGATTTGGTGCACTCATTCGATGGTACAAATATTGCTGTATCTTGTCGAGATGGGTTTGTATCTCATCCGAATTACTAATTTGGTTGGAGTTGACTTTCTCACCCAGCACTGTCTCTGTCTTCAAGACGATAAAATTATTCACTTCATCAACATGGTCCAGAACTATGCCTCCGCCTGATCCGGAGACGAAACTTCACGTTGCCCCTCCTGATGCCGATCATGCCGCGGGTACTGTCCTTTGGGGCCGTGGTCCGACCGAACGCTTTATGTACACATCTTCAGAAGCTCACGATCCTGATGGGGTGGGCAAGGACGAAGGTTTTCACCGTGCACATGATGTATCACGAGGTCGAGTACTGTTTCCTTTCAGTGCCAATGAGTCAGGTGATGCAGGAGCCGTCAGTCCAGATGGTGAGTGTGTGTGTTTACCTGTGAGCCTACTGGTATAAAACTGTGCAGGAAGCACTTATCTCTTGATCACATGCGGTGAGAATAATCAGCATCCTATAAGGTTGTACGATGTGGCTCGCAAGTCGGGGCATGCTGTCGCCGAAACAATGCTTGAGCCATCATCAACCTCCCGGGTCGCTACATTTGAAGTAACAACAGCCGCTTTTTCTTCTGAAGGGCGCCTCCTTGCGGTGGCACGCTCAGATAATGCTGTGCACATGTACGACATTCGTGCGCTAACTAAAGGTCCCCTTGCCATATTCAAACACGAGGAGTTAGATGCAGTAGGTTCGGCCGGGTATGGTGCTGTTCATGTATGCTGGGTTGAGGGGCGGGATCGGCGGCGAGTTGGCATTGTCAGTGGGGGCAATGATGGGTGTGTGCGAGTGTGGGATCCGTTGATTGCCTCATCGGACAAGTCTCAAGGTAAAGTGCTGGCGCGCACGGAGTTTGATGTCGCATACTTTGCCATGGGTGACATGTGGACAGGAGAGAAACCACTCGTTCTGTGAGTATCATGCTCTGTTGTCTTTGGTATAAGCACTGATCGGACTATCAAGTGGGCATTGTGGTGGAGGTCTTTATGTTTATGACTACTTGGATGCTGACGGCCTACCGATATGTTGAACCATTAGCAGAGCACCATGGCTTGCCGCATCACATACCGGAAGTGTATACTTATATCATTGGGTGGTGAAACTGTTTGATCTTGCTACGGTACCGCTGGTTGATTATATATTCACAAGCTCGACTGATCATGAAGTTATATCCATCCCACCACGTTTGTTGCTCGGTCTAAAGTTTATGTATTCATGCATTGAGTTCGGCCATCGAAGCGTCGTACGATCAGTTAGCGAGTCCCTACCATAGATGAATGAAAAATCTATATCATTGGTGAGTAACTCTTGTGATTTCTACCAATTTCTGATATCAGGCTTTGATTAGGCTCCTCCCGACTCAGAGACTCTGGTCACCGTGTCTTTATAAAATTAGCGCTTGGCAAGTTTGTGGCAAGTTGGCATGTTTCACTTCTTCAATCACACCTCGCTGTAGCTCCTGTGACTATTTTTATGGTCAAAGGACTTAGGACATATGAGGCTTGAACGTCGAACACTGAAAGGTCTACTTCTACTTGATGTCGCTAAAACCTCGACTGACGACTCCGTCCCGCAGAGCCTTTATGGCGACGATGTCATCTCCCCCAGTTTGTACTAGCAGCATCAAAAATCGGGTTAGATATGTCCGCTTGCCCCCTAGGGCGCCTTTGGCACAATGTACATGAAAGTAGTTGTCAACTCCCTCCTAGCACGTGCGGGTTGTCCCGGCTGAGGTCAACTATATAGTAATCTCGTAATTTACAGTTTGAGTATTTTGCTTCTTTATGCCATCGCACAAATTGCGCTTTGATTCATAACGTATCATAGTATATACGACGACATTCGAAACACCCCAATTGTTTCTATCACTATGGGACAATCAATCTCCTCCTCGCCTCCCACAACTGTATCGCGCAACTCTCCACCGTCATCGTGCCCAATGCATGATGTGCCCAGCACTGGTTGTCCAATTCAGCACAACAACCCACCTGTTGCAAAATCCTCGGGTGGATGTCCCGTCGATCACTCTTCACTCAACACGTTGAATCCCACAAACCAGATGCCCAATCTTCCTCAGACCCCCATATACCCGCAAGCCGTACCGCTACCAACTGAGCGTACAATGTCATCGATCCCGCGTGTGGCGGACGGTGAAACGACAACCGACACGCGCCAAACGTGGGAGTACCCATCTCCTCAGCAGTTCTATAATGCACTGGTAAGAAAAGGTTTGGATACGTCCCCTGAGCATATTGAGACGGTGGTGGAAATACACAATTTTTTGAATGAGAGAGCTTGGGGAGAAGTGTTAAAGTGGGAGAGGAGGATTGCACAGTGAGTTTTATTCTTGCTATGTCGATTACGATTATTGATTTTTTTTTACCTCTCAGGGTGGGTGACGAGGAGCCGCATCTTGCTCGCTTTAAGGGACGTCCAGGCGAGATGTCGCCCAAGGCAAGGTTCTGGATGCTGGCTGGCTGGCTGCTTCCTTCTAGATTCAAGTAGCTTTGTCCCTGCTATGTGTTTACTGAATACTGACATCAGTATCACAGCACTGAACCTCCGTTCGATCGTCATGATTGGATAGTACGTCGTCCGCGCGATGGAACAGAGGTCCGCTATGTCATCGACTACTACTCTGCACCGTCTACTTCTAACGGAGATCCCGGTTTCGCATTGGATGTCCGACCTGCTCTTGACTCGTTGGAAAGTATCCAGCAGCGTGTAGCGGTGGGTATGGATGACGTATGGGAGGGGCTTCGGGAGAGGGGATGGGGAAAGAGTGAACGGGGAGGTACATAACAGGCAAGGCCATGGGATAGTCTTGAGCATGCACACTCTATTCCCAATGCTGGATCAGTCGTCCGACTGTCGGTATTTATGTTGCTTTGAGTAAGCTAATGAACACACCTCTCGCATTATACACTAATATGATAGACTCGTTGGGAAGCCATACCGTTGTTGACACAATTATCTTCAGCACCTTGATGTGGATGCCATTTCTGTTGAGCTGGGTGGCTATTTAATGAGTTAATGTTGCCTTTCTTATCTCGCAGGCCAATTAGACGCTATTTGACTAACATTTGTGCTGAAACAGCTTTCAGCAGAACGGTAGTGAAAATAAGCAGATCACGTAGTAAACTCGTGACTGTGATGGCGCGGCTCTGCCATTCGAGTGACTCAGCCGTTTTGTCCGTACGGACGTAGGGTAAGTACAGATCAAACCACAACTTACGAGCCTAAGTCCGAGTGCGTAATATTCTGTTAGCAGTATTTATAAAACTGCCCATTGGTTAGCTACTGATACGCCGAGTACTTGCATGCAGGATAGTCATCCGAGTCGAAATCATGGCCTGCAAGTGTCTGCAAGCGACTCGACTTGCCGCAGCGGCCCGCAGGCTCGCAAAGGTTTGACCGGGGAGCTGTTCTTTTCAATCTTCAGCTATTTTGTAGGTTTGTGGAGAGTTATCAGATAAACGAACATGATATCTCCGTCTAACCTTCTACTGCTATTTTGCCGTGCTGCGCTGGTATAATAAGATCTTATTCAAGAAGTCAGGATCATTTACGAGATTTCCAGCACTCGCATTCGGACAAGAGGTAGGATCGATTTGTTCCATCAGCGGAGCCATCTCACCAATAACGGATCTACAGATCTGGGCAAGTAAAGTCCCACATCAGAATATTATAGGTGTGCTACAGCAGAATAATAAACGCTGTGTGCCTTTGCGAGTCCAACGAGTTAGCTCTGTGCTAATTAATCTTCCACAAACAGCCTCATTTTGGTGCATGTGTCTCGCACATTTTTGTCCTTCTCCTGACCGGCAGCATACAATAGGTATTTCTTCAACTTTGTTTAAAGACGCAGTAATTATTTGCATTGATCTCTGCAATTCCCGTTTGAACATCTGCATTTTGTTGACCGATTGCCTTGTTCAGTATAATGGGGTTGACTCACGGGGTTTTCAGGCGATTGTTATGAGTGCCCTACAGACTTGGCTTCGTGAATGCTCTTCTGCGCAGCACAAGCCACGAACTAGCTCAGGTTCTGATAACCAGAAACGTAAGAGAAAAAACACAGCTATCCAACTTATCGCTTCAACAGGTCAATCAATAATGCGTAGCTTGATGTAGGAGCTAGTGTCGTGCAATACATACGCCGTGTAGGATAAAGCACCGGAGGACGGTGCGACTGACGAAATGTCACCATTAAATCGTTATTTACTAGGGTGTTGTGCACGAACAGCTTCGCAGTGTGGGACTGAGAAGATAAGTGAACGAAAAAAGGGCCTGGCCGGGAATTGAACCCGGGACCTCCTCGAATTTGGATGAACCCTAACAAGGAATCATACTACTAGACCACCAGGCCGATAAAACCCTTGGCTTACTAAACCATCATCATCGTGCAAGTTCCAAATTGGTCACTACTGGTACTGACGCGTCCCTTCGCGTTCATCTGATTCTTAAGGACCGACATCATCACCTAGCACAATGGACCAACGAAGAAAGGATGCTCTCAAGAGCTACCGGGATGTAAGTCAGCTGCCTTTCTTCCGCTTCTGCTGATTTCAGCTCTGTTATAGAAAATGCAGAGTCACGAGAACTCGAGCCAGAGTCTCAAGAACTGTTAGTGTTTGTCTGTCAAATCTGAGTATTCGAAGCTTTCTAACGTTTGTTGTCATACAGTGCGGTTTTCGTTGAAAGATCTTGAGACTGAATACGCGAAGACCGAGGATGACATCAAGGCCGTGCAGTCCGTTGGGCAAATCATCGGAGAGGTTATGAAACAACTAGATGACGAACGATGTCAGTCGCACTAAGTTTCATCATCTGTTGGGACGCTCAATCACTGCATAGTCATTGTAAAGGCATCATCAGGACCTCGATATGTTGTCTCTTACCGCCCTGCCCTACCAGCAGACAAACTCAAGACAGGCACACGGGTTTCTCTTGATATGACCACCCTCACAATTATGCGTATTCTGCCAAGAGAAGTGGATCCTATGGTTTACAAGATGAGCCTGGAAGATCCTGGAGGTGCATCGTTTGCGGGTATCGGTGGCTTGGGTGAGCAGGTACGAGAGCTGCGTGAGGTATGTCTGCTATGCTTTCTTCTCGCTGCTTCGTGCTTCATATCATCCAGGTGATCGAGCTACCGCTACTCAGCCCAGAGCTTTTCCTCCGGGTTGGTATCAAGCCTCCCAAGGGTGTCCTCTTATACGGTCCCCCAGGGACGGGCAAAACCCTCCTTGCTCGTGCTGTTGCAGCTACT